TAGGTGCACCAAGTAATCATGAATCACACACAAAAATTAATAATATTAAAAATATTTAAACTATTTTTAGTTTATATTTTTTAATAAAATGATTAAAATATTATCTATACCATTATAAATAATTATAAAAATTATTACTTTTATTTAATATCTTTAAATTACATTGATACAATTTTTGCAATATGGATAACAAAAACACATTTTTTAAGTAAAATTAATATGCCATAAAAGTAATAAAAAACATTTAAGAGAAAAACTTAAAATTTTATTATAAAGATGACATTTTTGCCATATTTTAGCTTCCAAAATTCAAAAGGTAAAGCAAAAGTAAATAAATAAGAATTTATTAACAAAATAGTATCTTACACTAATATAATAAAATAAAAATTAATATTTTATATTCAATAATGAAACTCACAATATGATTGCCCAAGAAAAGCAAAGGCAGCATTTGATTCGTATTATCACATAACATCTTTGAAGATTTGCAGTAGAGTGAACTCTGTGAATGTGCATTTACTAAGGTGATGATACAGATAGATTGAAAAGACTGAATTTAAAAAAGATATTTCATAATCTAAATTTAAAAACATAAATGAGACAATGATAAGTTAAACTTATAAAGCCTTTGATTGTAAAAAGTTGGAATATAAATTCAAAAGCTTAAAATAAAATAAAACAATAATAATAATGATAATAAATATGAGAACTTCAAGAAAGTAAATTTTAAATAGGATAAGCTACAATTAAAACTGATAAATCAATCAATTTCTTTACATTGTCTTTGTAATTTTCATATCAAACATATAAGTTTCTCAAATCCCTTAAAAAAATTTACAGTACATCACTAATTCACTCAAACAAACTGCCCCTTAGTGTAACTTTAAAAGTGAGTTTTAATTTTTTTTTCTTTATTAACGATGCTTCCACAGCATTATAACTATGTAAAAAGCTAAGTACCGTTATAAAATAATGTTATAATTAATGGTAATTATAAAATTTTAATTCATGATTAGTGAATTTAAAAAATGCATTATCTTATTTCTTGTTTAATTGATAATGGCTAATTTAATGTTTAAAATTTTTAATATATTTAAAAAATCTAATATATAATAATTCCTTTTCCAACGAAAAATTGTAGTTAGAGAAATCCTTGTATTCCTAGTTGCCATGATTCACACAGGCAAATCTAACACCAATTCATATTCATACAAATATGCTCATAAGAACCTGAATTTAAAAAAGCTAGTCATGAGTGATATAGTTTAATGATGAGAAGATGAAAAATTTTATTTATATTATGTATGCATTATTTTATGAAATGGTGTTATAGTATAATGTTAGGAAGATGAATGAATGATATTTATTATATTATGTTTATTATTTCATGAAAAAGAGTGACATAGTTAGTTTCAGGAAGATGATCTTTGCATTATTCTATCAAAGAGTTGAGACATGAATAATTTTTTTAATATCATCCATGAATTATTTCATGAATTCATAGAAGAGCACACACAATGGTGGAAGAGCTAGGTTAAGATTCCAGAGGGCACACAATTAATGTGCAAGGCTATTAAATAGACATAAAACTAGTTAATATAATAATTATAATAATGGTTAAGATTTTTATGAAATAAATTTATATAATGTAATTTCATACATATATATA